ACAAGGCAAATGCTACTGCTGCTGCTGCTGCCACCCAGAATACCACTCAGGTTGACCCTACCACTGTCACAGAGTCTGCTGGCAAAGCAAGTCTCTCTGACCCACTTCAGCTTGATGCTGACTTTAACTGGAATGCAGACACAGGCGCCACTTCTCATATGACACCTCATCACCACTGGCTTAGAAATTACAAGCCTTTGGTCATTCCAATCAAACTCGCTGATAACACCATTGTCATGTCTGCTGGGGTGGGAACAGTTGTATTTAATCCAGTGATTGCAGGGAAAGCAGTCAGGCCTGTGGAATTCACTAGGGTGCTGCATGTCCCAAGGCTCAGGAACAATCTCCTCTCTTGTCTGTATTTAGTTCGTCAGAAAGGCTTCAGAATTCACATAGAGTCCAAGTTCATGACCTTCCTTCACTCTCATCAGACTCTATTTGTTGCCTCTATCACAGAGAACTACACTGCCTTTCTTGATGGAACTGTACAACCAGCTCCAGAGTCTGCACAGGCTATAACCACAGTCCCTCTTGATTTAAATCTCTGGCATCGTCGCTTTGCTCATCACAACTATGCCGATGTCCAAAAGATGATTAGAGAGGAGCTAGTGACTGGTCTTATGCTGGATTCAAAGCAGCAGCCTGACCCCATTTGCGAACCATGTCTGGCCGGTAAAATGCATGCCAATCCCTTCCCTACATCGGACAGTCATGCCTCCAAACCCCTAGAATTAATTCACACAGATGTCCATGGACCTCTGCCTGTGTGTACACACTCAGGATATCGGTACTGGATCACCTTCATAGATGATTACAGCCGATTCAGGGTTGTGCTATTGCTAAAGGCTAAGAGTGAAGCCTTTGATGCTTTCAAGCAGTATAAAGCTTATGCTGAAAATCTGCTTGAAGCAAAAATCAAGGCTGTCCAGGATGACAAGGGTGGGGAGTACATGTCCAATGCCTTTATACAGTTTACTCAGGAGGCAGGGATTGAGCGCAGACATACCACGCGCAATAGACCACAGCAGAATGGAGTTGCAGAGCGAGCTAATCGCACAATGGACAATGACATCACTGCTATGCTAGCAGAGTCTAAACTGCCTCCTTCCTTCTGGGGAGAATGCATTGCATCTATGGTGCATGTCTGGAACCGTCTGCCTACAGCAGTGGTAAAGGGTGCAACTCCCTATGAGCTGTGGTACAAGCGGAAGCCAGATGTCAGCCATCTTCGTGTTTGGGGCTGTACTGCCTATGTGCATGTGCAGAAGGATCAGCGTATAGGTCTGGGACCACACATGCAGAAATGCGTGTTTATTGGTTATCCTGCAGGATACAAGGGGTGGAAGTTCTACAATCCTGACACCAAAAAGACTATAATCTCAGAACGTGCTGATTTTGATGAGCGCTACTTCCCTGGCCTCAAATGCACTCCTGATATTCCTCCTCCACCCTCTATGTCATTTCCACCTGCAGACATTATTCCTCTACCTGTAGCACCTGTACCTGGACAGGATTTAGGGGGAGATGGTGCACATGTGCCAAATCCTATACCCGGTCCAGTTGCTTCAGAAGCTGATCCACCTGCACCACCTGCACCACCTGCACCTGAGCATCCAGTAACTCCACCACCACCAGATCCTTCAGAGCATCATAGAGTTCCAACTCCTCCTCCATTTGAACCTATAGATCATCGTCCAATTGCTCAGCGCCGGGTACCTCGCAACATTAGGCCCACCTGGAAAATGCGAACTTCACCACCACCTATGCAGGATGCAGAGTCTGAGGACGAGTTGAATGTGATAGATGCAGATGCTGACTTTGTTGAAGTCCAGTTTGCTGGTCTATCTGCTGGAGCAGACCCTCGGACCTATAAACAGGCTATGGGCAGTCCTGATGCTGATAAGTGGCAGCAAGCAGCCAATGAAGAGATTGTGTCTCTAATGGCCAATAACACATGGGACATTGTTCCACTGCCACCAGGCAAAAGGGCAATAGGCTCAGGCTGGGTGTTCAAGGTGAAGCACAATGCAGATGGTTCTGTAGAGCGCTATAAAGGCAGATTAGTCGCCAAGGGTTACAGTCAACGCCCTGGCTTTGACTACACAGAAGTCTTTGCTCCCACATTCCGTCAACCTGCATTGCGCCTTATTCTAGCTCTTGCTGCAGCAGAGGATCTAGAACTTCACTCTGTGGATATCTCATCTGCCTTCCTAAATGGAGACTTGGAGGAAGAGATCTACATGCAACAACCTGAGGGGTTTCACCAGGGTGGTCCAGAAATGGTCTGCAGGCTAAATAAGTCACTCTATGGCTTGAAGCAAGGTGCACGCCAGTGGAACAAGAAGCTTCATGAGGTGCTCACCAAAATGGGCTTCACTCGTCTTCAGTCTGACAGAAGCATCTATGTGTACATTAGGGAAGATGTGCGCATTATTGTCCCAGTCTTTATAGACGATATGACACTTGCTTCAAAGTCCAAGAAGGCACTTGATGACACTGTCAAGGAGTTAAAGTCATATTTTAAACTCCGAGACCTTGGATCTACCCAGTTTCTGCTGGGCATAGACATCAAAAGAGACCGTGCAAAGCATACCATTTCACTCTCACAGCGCCAGTATATAGTGGATATGCTGGAGCGTTATGGTCTCTCTGACTGCAAGTCTGTCAGCACTCCTATGAATCCTGGAGCAGAGCTTTCAAAGGCCCTTGCACCTCAGACACAGGAAGAGGCAGAATATATGCACAAAGTGCCTTATCTCAGTGCTGTAGGGGCACTGATGTATTTGGCCATCACCACTCGTCCAGACATCATGTTTGCCATTGGATGTCTTGCGCGTTTTAATGCCAATCCTGGTCCTGCACATTGGATTGCTGTGAAGCATGTCTTCCGCTATCTGAAGGGCACAATGGACTTAAGGCTGCACTATGGTCCCAGTGATGTAAAGGAGTTCTTCCTAACCTACACGGACTCAGACTTTGGTGGTGAGAGGGATAACCGTCGCTCCACTGGTGGTTACCTTGTAAAAGTGGGCACAGGTGCTATTAGCTGGAGTAGCAAGCTTCAGTCCCTTATTGCCCAATCCACCACAGAAGCCGAGTACATTGCTGCAGTTGAAGCAGGAAAGGAAATCCTCTGGATGCGTAATCTTCTCATAGAACTGGGGTATACAGTGTCCAAAGCCTCTACACTTTACATGGACAATCAGTCTGCAATCAGTGTCTCTAAAAATCCAGAACATCATGGCAGAATGAAGCACTTGGATCTGCGCTTCTTCTGGCTTCGAGACACTGTGGAGGCAGGTCGAATTGCACCAGTATATATTCCTACTGCAGAGATGATAGCGGACATTTTGACAAAGCCCTTGCCAGCGGCAAAGATTATCTACTGCCGTGAGATGATGGGCTTGAGGATCTAATCGTCAAAAACCCGGATCTTGCCGGATAGAGCATATAACTCGGACATTGTCGGATCGGTGTTTTCTCGGATCATCTGTCTGCCACATATACCACTCTCACTGCTGCGGTTCAAATCATCTCTTTGCCCCTTCCACCACTATGAAAACCTTCGCCATTGCCCTTCTTATTACTGCAGGGGCGCTCTTCCCTGCCATTCTCCTTCTTTCTTTTTATTATGCCATCACCCGTATCTGGCCAGCACCACCCCCGCTCGACATCGAATTGGAACGCATTACCATTCCGGCATCCAATCAACCGACTCATCACATGCTTGTTCACCCGGCTATGCCACCTCGTGCTCACATTCGGCGACACTCACTGCACTTCACCACTCAGCAGTTCGATGAGTTGGACGACCTTGCATCTATGATGCTGCGTGACAGCGAGATGGAAGCCGAACATCCATTCAAGTCTAAATCGTGCGACGAGGAACATTGGGATGTAGTGGAATGAGTGGGTTCAGGGGGAGGTATGTGGAGCTCTTGCATTCTGTTGAAGAGGGAAGACTCGTTGGATTAAGGGGGAGTGTTAGATTAGATAATCCATCAGTCTCTTAAGTGTCTAGACTCAAAGCAATGCAAGATGCTGTACACCTAGATACCTATTGATCAGGCTGCGCTATGCACTGCTATGTAGAAGCTATGCATAGCTATGCCTGCCTATGTTCATAACCACAATCCTGTGTTACTCACAGGTTTGTATAGCCACACTCTAGGTAGATATAAACCCCCTAGAGTCCACTCTGAGTCCTCAGTGACTCACTTCTGGACTCTAGGTGAGTAGAGTACTTTGTCCTCAATATTACTTAGTGACTCACTTCTGGACTCTAGCTGTGTTGCCCAGCTCTTCTGTCCTGTTATTTGAGTTCCCTACAAGGTCTGCATATTGCAACTTTATTAGTGGCAGACAGGTTTCGAACTCGTCACCATAGCGCATCTGTATGATGGGCCCCAGGAGATTAGGGCTGTTGTCCCGCGCGCGGAAGTTTCATCATTCATCTAAATAGTCTCTATTGTATATGAGCCTGTGCTACTGCTTGTAATCCGCGCTACCTACGTTTATTTTTTTCCCCGCCATTTGTACACTACTGCCATCTTGCGTTTCGCGCTTGCAGTAATTACCATCCTAAACCCTAAAATGGCTTGACTACGGGATTTTCTTGTAAACTATTCTTATGACTACTACCTTATCACATGTCGCTCTCGCAGAAATCGACGCTTTGAATATATGTGGGGGGACTAGGGAATCGGACATGGCGTGCGAATGCAGCGCCGCTCACCCACAAGTTGCTGTAACCTGTTACGTTTACAGATCTCAGATTTACGCGACTCAGAGTAGTACCGTGACGCGGTATTCGCGTCGCGTGTTGAGCAGCGTTGAGCGTTGAGCGTTGAACTCTGGCAGAACCTCGACAACAAGCTGTGCATTTTGCAATTCACGTTCAATTGTGAGTTTGCACTGTTCTTCGGAGTTTCTTTTCATGAATGTACTAACAACGACTGCCTGAACGTTGGCATAGGCACGTAGAGCACAACATTCAGTGGATGGCGGACGCTGTGATTGATCTGACCAACGTGTCGGACACCGCGTCTGAATCCGGTTCTGAAAATGGCTCGTCCTTGTCGGACGAGGTTCAGGTACCGCCTGCTCTTGAGGATACAGGACGCGAGCAGCTACGCGTTGCGATCGACAACGTGCCAGAGGATCGCCTACGCGCGATCGTTAAGGAACTGGTAGATAGCGCTCCAGCAGTCGAAGCAGCTATGATGCAGAAGCTAGTTGCCACGAAGAAGCCGAAGAAGAGGGCTGCGGTGGAAGTCTTGCCGAGGTGGGAGGTCTGCATGCATTGCGAAGAGGAGTACGACGCAAGTACGCGAAGGAGGACTGGGGAATGCAGATACCATTCAGGTACAGGCTTTCACAAGTACTTGCGTCCTCTATGGTAGCACCGGCTAACGTTGGTTGGATAGGCGATTTGGAGGTCGACGAGGATAGTTTCGTCGATTGGGACGAAGACTGCCACGGCCCTATGGACACTCCAGCCAAACGAAGAGCCTGGCCCGAGAACTTCATCTGGAATTGCTGCGATGCTGACGGTAGAAGCGAAGGCTGCGAAGATGCAAAGCATGTGCCTGGAGGTCACAGAAAGACGCGAGCGAGGTACTAGCTACCGGTGGGTTTGATGTCTCCGTCATAGCACCTTGTTGCCAATCCATGCAATGATCATCACACAAGGAGGATGCCAAGAAAAACGGTGCGGTGTTCGATATGATAGCTACATCCAGTGTTTTACAGCTAGCGTACAACAATGTCCCAGAATCGTACCTATTCCGTATGCCCGTTACAGAGCGCTGGTCGTATTAAAAGGTGGAGTAGGCAAGGGTGGAAAGTAATAAGTCAGGGGATGGGGAAGAGGTTACTAATCTTCCTACCATCCAATTGCAAGGGAAACATATGACTCCATCCAATACAAGCGCGCTCCTGTGCCCGTGCGAACCATCGCATCTTCGACAAGCCAGATGCGATAATCCTGTATTCTTCATCGTCTCCAAAGCTACTCAGCCCTCGATGCATCTCCAAATCCTACGTGCATTCATCGATCATCTCCCAGTCCTCCCCTGGCACAACCACCCAAGAATTGCTTAGTAGGCTTTCACCGTTCGACATGACCGCATTGGTGTCGAACTCACGTTCAGTAGCAACTAGACTCTCGAGCTCTCTCGTGGCTGTGTGTATCGAGAAGGCAAGGCGAGGACCCATGTGCAGTATTTTCTGGCCCTCAGGGGACATGCGCATTCGGGTGGTAATCGCCATGCGGTAGAGGTCGGGCTCGGGTTTAGAGCGTGGGAATGATGCGCGGGCGGGGCGTACGCACTGTATTGGTGACAGTGGAGAGTTTGTGCGAGCGGCGGGCATCGTTACTCCTGAGGGTGTAATTGAGACAGCGGAGGATGTGGATGAAGGCTTGGACATCAACACCGCTGCGCGATGGAGCATGTTCTTCCGCTTCTCTCGCTGCTCCTTGTAGTGTCGCAGAGTGCGTGTGTATGGTACCACGTGCGAGCAGTCTGTCGAAGAGGCACAGGGCGGCGAAGAATAACGCTGAGGGCCATTACGGCCATATAGTGGTGTTTCCACCGCAGCATCCATATCCTGCAACGACAAGTAGGAGCCCGTGCGGCGCAGCGGAGTACGCGCAAGTTTGTTAGGCGAAGGTGCGGAAAACGACATCGTACGCTTGCGGGTCGGGGTGGAGGCTGAGGTCGGAGGGGATACGAGGGAGCAAGACATGCAACGACGGTGAAGGGGTGAGAGAAAAGGAGCGATGATGACCGTCGCTGCTGATGAGGATGAGGGAACAACTTGAAGAACAAGGGGCGGTGATGTGACGGAGAACGGATACAATGGCTGCGCTCCGGGGCAAAGCAATTGTTATGGCCATAATGAAAAGCACGTGAGAGATTTGCCTTTCTTGGAAGTAGCAGGCGGTGCCGAGACTGCGCCTCCACTCCGCAGGCGTCGACACGTTGAACACACGCCGCTGTGTTCCGTCCCGAGCAGTCCACTGTGACATCCCAAATGTATCGCACGTATGTTCGGGCCGCGCGAAATCTGCAGCGGAAGAGACACATCACTTACGGGAAGGCCGCAACTCGGATGATGATCAAGTCCCTTTGGATCATTTGATTCGAGAGCCCACCTCACATTATGTCGATTCGGCACCCAAGACGAGTCAGGATGCTTTAAATCTGCAAGAGAGATAGCAACGTGATAGACATGCGACAACATAGGAGCCCCATGGAGTGACCCGGATTACACGCGCAGGAGACAAGCAGGAGATAGCATTCCCATGACCAGCATACCAGAGATACGAAGCCTCAGACCTCAGACCTCAGGCCTCAGGCCCAACACCGCAGCTGCGAATTTCGGACAACTGGTCAGTCAGGCGAGGTGTACGTTTCAGTCCAGCAGATGTCGTGTCAAGATTATGTTGTACCTGGCGGCCACGGACACGCAGAACTGTCACAGGGCGCCCATAAGACGAGGGTTATACCAGCACGTTGGTGTCAAGTGGGGAACAGAGGAGGCTCGGTGCTGAATGAGAGTAAGAGCGAAGGTGAACGAACAGCAAGCGAGCGGCGCCATCAGCACGAGTCCCCAGATCTCATCGTGCGCGAACTAGTGAGCAACTGCGGCGGAGGCAGTCTTATCTCTCCACTAAACACGGTCTTCACAGCTCGTCCTCTGTGTCACTCCTTCGAATTTGTGTTGTCAGACTTCGGCGACAGTGATTTATCTCCTGCATTAGTGGCAGAGACGCTGTGATCGGTCGACATGCGCATTTCTCCAAGGGAGGAAGCTAAGCTATTGTTGCACCAAGTTGAGTGATATCTTTACCGTGACTTCTCACAGCAGTGACCTACCATATTGTTATTAGGCTGGGTTCCTGGCACAGAAACGCCTTGCGCGAGGGCTGCAGCTGAATCTGACAGAAGCGACTGCTCTTATCGCCTCCCAGCTCCAGGAGCGGATCAGAGATGGCAGACATTCAGTCGCAGAGTTGATGCAACATGGCAAGACGCTACTGGGCAGGAAGCATGTTCTTCCCGGAGTTCCTATTCTGCTCCATGAGATACAGGTGGAAGGGACGTTTCTGGACGGGTGGGTCTCATCCCAGCGACTCGTCTAATCTGCTCATGAGCGTCGCTCAGCGTATTCCTGGTGACCGTCCACGAGCCCATCTGCACGGATTCTGGAGACCTTTCAGCTGCACTGTACGGTTCCTTTCTTCCAGTTCCACAGGACGATGCGTTCCCGTCCATTGATCCATCCGAGTATGCTCGTGACAAGGCGCCTGGAGCGGTTGTCCTCAAGAAAGACCCTATCATCATCAATAGGAAGCGCGACAGAGTACGGCTTCGGGTGACGAACAACGGCGACCGTCCCATACAAGTCGGTATCCAATATATTATGCGAGGTTCGTGCCAGAATGCGAATGACCCTGTGTTTTTAGATTGGCTCCCATTATCATTTTATCGAGACCAACCGTGCTCTATCATTTGACCGAGGCAAGGCTTATGGCAAGCGTCTTGACATAGCGGCAGGCACCGCTGTCCGCTTTGAGCCCGGTGACACGAAGACGGTCACACTTTGCGCAATAGCGGGTAACAGGGTCATATCGGGCGGGAATCGTCTTGCAAGCGGCGTCGTTGATCCTACTAGAACTGAAGAGATAGTAAGAAACTTAGTGCAGAAAGGATTCGGACATGTGCCGGAGCCAGGCGCACTCGAGGTGACGGTGGATACGAACATGACCAGAGAGGCTTATGCCTCCATGTTCGGACCTACCGTTGGTGATAAAGTAAGACTCGGAGATACTGCCCTCTGGATTGAGGTTGAACGGGACGAGGTATTGACTTTGCACTTCATAAACTTATTGATTCTAACGCATTCGATTTAGACATTCTACGGAGATGAAGTCAAGTTTGGCGGAGGTAGGGAATAATGCCGAACTTCAGCGATTTAGACTCATCCGTTAATCATAGGCAAAACGATCCGTGAAGGCATGGGGCAATCGACCGATCGTTCCGCCGCATATTCTCTGGACCTTGTCATTACCAACGCTCTCATAGTGGATTGGACGGGCATTTACAAGGTAATCTATCATGTAAAATGGCAGTAGAAAATACGTTGACATTTTTTCCAGGCTGACATCGGTGTCAGGAATGGTGTCATAGTCGGCATCGGGAAGGCTGGAAATCCCGACGTCATGGCAGGCGTCCACCAAAACCTCGTCATCGGATCGTCGACCGAGGTCATCGCAGGCGAAAAGTTAATCGTCACTGCCGGCGCCATCGACGCTCACATACACTACATCTGTCCACAGCAAGTGACTGAAGCGCTCGCTTCGGGTGTCACCACTATGATCGGCGGAGGTACAGGCCCGAGCTCTGGCACGAATGCAACTACCTGTACGCCCAGTCCGTTCTACATGAGACAGATGCTTGCAGCGACGGACGGAATGCCGATGAATTTTGCGTTCACGGGCAAGGGGAACGACTCGGGACCGACCGCGCTTGAGGAGGTGGTCAAGGCTGGTGCCGCTGGTCTGAAGTTGCATGAAGATTGGGGCTCGACGCCTTCGGCGATCATGAACTGCTTGGACGTCGGTGATAAATACGACGTGCAGGTCGGCATGCTATCAACCCGTTCCGCGACGCCACTGGCTGATTTTCATGCATTAGGTCAACATTCATACAGATACACTCAACGAAAGTGGATTTGTCGAAAGTGAGCACGTTCTCATGCTCGTGTTTTTTTTGGTCCTGACAAAGAATAATAAGGTACAATCGCTGCTTTTGGGAACCGCACCATCCATACCTACCATACAGAGGGAGCTGGTAAAGACTCCTTATGCAACATGCCTTCGTTATCTTATCGGACTCACAGGTGGTGGACACGCTCCTGATATCATCGTCGTTTGTGGGCTGGACAACGTGCTTCCTTCATCAACGAATCCCACACGACCTTACACCAAGAACACGCTGGATGAGCATTTAGACGTGAGCGTGCCACCGCCTGATCTCTTATTCTTCATCTGAGCTTCTTTTCACAGATGCTCATGGTTTGCCACCACCTGGACAGATCAATACCCGAAGACTTGGCGTTCGCCGAGTCACGTATCCGAGCAGAGACGGTGGCAGCCGAAGACGTCCTGCACGACACCGGTGCGATCTCCATGATCAGCTCTGACTCGCAGGCGATGGGGCGTGTGGGCGAGGTCATCACCCGGACGTGGCGGACCGCCAGCAAGATGCGGGAATGCAGAGGTCCGCTGACGCTTCTGGGCGACGAGGAGGGTCGGGACAACTCCCGTGTTAAGCGCTACATCTCTAAGTACACAATCAATCCGTGAGTCGTGTCTCCTTTTATTGTCGTGGGATAGCGCTGGTGCTCACACGACGAGTCAGAGCGATCACACATGGGATCGGCCACCTGGTGGGGCAGGTCGCTGTGGGGGCGCTCGCGGACCTTGTGCTGTGGAAGCCGGAAAACTTCGGGTCCAAGCCGGAAATGGTGCTCAAGTCTGGGGTCATCGCCTGGGCGCAGGTAAGCGTATTCCGTGCGACTGACCAGACAGGCGAGCGCTGACTCTGCCACGCAGATGGGCGATGCAAACGCGTCTATCCCTACGGTCCAGCCGTTCATCGGACGACCGATGTGGGGCTCGTACCCTGCATCCGCAGCGCTTAATTCCATCTCCTTCGTCTCGGAGATTTCAGTCACGTCTGGTGTCATCGCATCCTATGGCCTGTCGAAGCGCGCCGAGGCGGTGAAGAATTGCCGTAACGTCACAAAGAAAGATATGAAATGGAACTTCGCCACGCCGGTTATGAAGGTCGACCCCGAGAGCTACGATGTCCACGCGGACGGTGTCCTCGCCGACGTCCCGCCCGCGGAACGCCTTCCTCTTGCGAGGGCGTACAACATATTTTGAGGGTGAAGATTCGCTGTGTGACTGAGGGCTGTATGAACACAAGTAAGATGTATTACTATGACTCCCAATCTATGAGACACCGGTGCTCTTTGGACGACCTACATCCATGAATACTTCGCGGGTACATCTAGCGGTAATTCATGACGTCCATGTAGCATCATGACGTAGTCGGCCGTGCTCACGTATGCCGCAATATATGCATAGAAATGCAAGTACCTGAATCAGTGAGGCTTCGCCAAGTTATTGCCTTGACAGCCATCGTTGGTAAGTATATTGGAGTTGTCACACGGTGCAGCGCCTCCATACACAGACAATGACACTTCCTCCGACCATTGTTGTTCATGGTCCGCTTGTATGCATGACTATGTCTTATGCTGCGGCCATCGTTTGGGATGCAGCGTGGAGGAATAGTATGCTCCCGTGCATTCAGAGGGGAAGGAATGTCACCTGGAGGATATTCATGCTGCCAGCTGCAGGGCTCCCTCATTTCACTGGACCAATCGCCCCCGCGGTCGCGGCCACTCCCATCGTCGTCATCGTCGTCGGAGTAGTCGCCCAAAGGCAAGTTTAGATACTCTGCTTGAAACCTTCGTGCCTCAGTATGTCCGTATTACGCTCTGACCGCTTTCTATATGCATCGCATTTACTATCTAGAAGTACCACAATTTTGTTATCCCAATTGGATTACTGTAGTTCTCTTCATGGCGGTAGACATGAAAGCGAGGTATGTAGCCTCCGCAAGTAGTGGACACTCTGCTTCAGGACATCCGTGTCCTACGAGGGACAACTTGCGGTGAACCCTACTCTGATGTCGCTGGAACGTAAGTTCTGCTCCATGCTTAACTACAACGAGCTGAGTACCATGATCATGCGCAACTAGTGACTCATGATCCGTCCTTCGGAGGCAGCTTGCAACATCCTTACATACAGCCACGTCGACAGACGTAGATCCTCGGTCCTTTGTTGCATCCGTTCAGAATCATAGTGACCAAAGATGATCTATGTAAAGCATTTAGGTTGCCCTCGATGCGGAGCAACAGTGTATGAGTACGGTCCACTTGTGACATCTACAAAATGTCGTAACATAGTCGGCTGTTGCTTCTTCGACAGCCACTTTTGGGAAACCTGGATCGAAAGAGAATCTGGATCAGGGGAGGTTCGTGATCAAACTTGGAACCCTTAGGGCTATATTTGCTGCTGGAGTCATCAGCACTCCGACTGCTTGCATAAGTGATAGAGACTAACCTCTTCACAATACTGTTCTTGCGCGGGCTACGACTACCATCAGGAGTGCAGTGAGGAAAGACATGCTTCCATGGGTTAAGAGGAGAAGGAATATAACCCCGAGGAAATAGACACGGCTGGGACTCGCCAATTTCGCTTGACCCATCACCAACATCGACATCGTCCATCTCGAAAACCTCAACAACGGATACAACCACAGGAGTCTGAGTATTTTCGGCTTTTGCGCATGTCTGGCGAAGAGTTGCATATGGACTAAACTTCCGAAATTCGGTGCCAGTAACATAAGAGGGCTTGACCTGAGGAACATCCTGCTTTCTGCGTTCATACCCGATCGGAAGAGGAGGGCTCCGGGATATACTCAGTCGTTTGGTCTCTTTACAAAGATCCTTCCCGGCTCCCGTCACCAGGCTAGCAAGCCAACGAGCCTTCGGCTGGGAACCCTTGACGCCATTCATGCGGTTACCGGGGACCGACCGCCGACTAGGACAGACGCGAGATTTGGAAATCTGAGAGTCCCGGAAAGGATAATACTTTGTCGGTGATGGTAGCGATGGATCACCAGGGAAAGTTTGGTCAAACGAAGCTGCAAGGCTGCCACGAGACCTGAAACCTGTAAATGAAACAATGGGGTGATCGAAACCGAGAGAAAAATCCCTTCCAAAGGAGCCACCCGTCGCACAGATGCATTCTCGCCCATCGCGAGAAGCAGCCGCTTTGGTGGTACGGACTGAGCTCCAACTGGGAGTTAAGTTTTCCCCTTGAAGTGACGACTCACCCGGGTAACAATTGACCCCCCGTAGCTGAAGTGACTTTCGTGCACTGACTAGATAATCCGATGGCGATACGGTATTTCCTACTGCTGTGGACGAAGAACCAGCGGAGTAAGCGGTGGTGTGTTCGGGCATGGTGCTGAGTGAGAGAAAAGTGGTGCACGTACGCTATTTATCCAACCGCCAAGAGTGTGGCCATAACACGGTGTGCTCTGTTACAAAGGGACAATAAAACCTGCTTGAAACGGAAGCAGATGAGTCGGAATCCGTCACTGAACCGAGATCGCTCAATCCGGTAATTTCCGCTTGAAGCCGTTGAATCACACGACGGGCAATGGCCTCGGAAAACCTATCAATGGAGGTGGATTGCAGAGATGCAATTGTCTTAATAAACATCAACTGTCCATCGCACTGCACCGGTGGACAAAAGATTAACTGCAATAACTTGTCACTCGGAGGACAGTTGGCATCCTCCGATCACCTTTCATGTATGGCAACTAGTAGCCTGTGACGCTGGCGTCTCAGGCCGAACATATCCTGTTGTCGGAAAAACTATCTGTCGAGTGCACACCAAGAAGCTCAGAAAGGTGCTTTTAAGACAATTCCATCTCTGCTATCTGCCTGTTGCGGCTGGTGATGAGCCACCATTGCCTGTCGTGTCAACCGCCACGATGCCAGAACCCACCTGCAGCCATAGCTCCCAATGATGTGCAGGCTCGGTGCGGCAGAATGAGGCAATGTTGGTGTCTCTCAGCGAGTCCACCAATGGAAACTTCCAAGACATGCAGTCTCAGTTCGACGCGCTGAGGAACAAAGTGAGGCTCACCAATGCAGAAAAACGTGCTACGGAGAGAGTTAGCTGCGCAGGAACGTCATAGACTCTTTTGTACGGCCATCACAATACGGACGTTACCTAAAGGTCCATGCACGACTTGCAGGATGAAGGAGATAACAACGAAGGTTAAACATGACCTCAAGATGTTAGCGCGTCCTCACCATTCTTTATATTCGCCGCCATGTTAATTTCACATCAGGAAAACCCCACTTTTCCTTAAGAGGACACTTATATAACTTAAATGGACTTATGGTCCTTATTTAAGGAAATAAGGACAAAAAGGGCCTAAGGCATATTCCCTGAGTGTCTGAAATTCGACTTATTGAGACTTATTTCAACACTTATGGACTTAAATAAGGGTTGTCGGACCCAAAAGTTTAAATAGGTCCCTAAGAAAAAGTTGGGTTTTCCTGATGCATTGTCCAGGACGGGCGGTTTCAGAGTTCGTGGCTGTCATTGGTACGTACGTAGGGTCTGATTACCCATTTAACATCATTTTCCTCAACAATATGCTACCTAGTATTAAGTGATGAGCAGGGGGGCCTCACTGGCAGCAATGTAGAGGATCGCCTGAACATGTCGTCGTATGTGCTCTTGCAGACAATAATCTGTCATGCTAATGCTTCTCTGTTGGAGGTGCGGATTAGCAATCCGGCATCTACGGAAAGGTCCGTAGGGTTAGGATTAGTAAGGACAATGTCTCGAGAACAGTCTGGTAGTTTCTAGTCTTTTAGTTTACAGTATATAAGGAGCTCAACAGGCTTCTATGTAGTTAAGCCAATTTCTATCCTCTTCCACTCGTAGCCCGAGGCGCAGTTGCTTACAGGTTATGAGCCCCGCGCTCACACTAGTTCATATCTAATCTCTCCCTCATATCTTATCACTCGATCTTATCATGCGAGATGGCATCGCTAAATCCCCATGTCAAGCTCCCGACCCTCACGGGAGATAATTACTATGACTGGAAATTTGCAGTTTCCATGGTCATGCGGCACAACGCGTGCTGGGACGTTGTGAGTGGAAAGGTGTCGAAGCCTGCTGAAGACAAGTTGGGAGACTGGCCGAAGAAAGCGGAAGATGGACTCACACTGATCGGGCTCACAGTCGATCCGAGCCAGTACGGCTACATTCGTGATTGCGTGGATGGACCGGCGGCATGGAAAGCATTGGCAGCAGTCTACGAGAAAAATAGCCACACGAACCGAATCGCCCTCAAGCGTCAATTCTACAATTTCGTGCATGATCCCAAGTGTCCGATCCGGGATTACATCAGCGGCATTACCGATTTGGCAGCGAAGTTGAAGGGCATTGGAGTTGCGCTCGAAGACGAAGATGTTACTGATGTCCTTATATTCAATCTACATGAAGACTACTCTAATATCGCGGGCACACTCACAGCCACCAAGGGTGATCTGAAGATAGCAGATGTGACAGGTGCTCTAGTCGATGAAGAAGGACGACGCAGAGGATTGCCTAAAGCGGACGATGAAAAAGAAGTCGAGAATATGGCATTATTCGCGCAGAAAGAACGTGACAATCGAAATCGTAACGCGGAATGTTACAATTGCGGAAAGCGTGGTCACATTGCTCGTGATTGTCACTTACCGGGCAGGTACAACGAAAAGAATTTGGCAAAGGCCGAGAAGGCGTCGGTTGCCTTTGATTTGCGAGACGTTGCATTTTGAAGGGTTAGGGTTACCGTGGGAATCAAGGGAGGTACCTTGGGAATGAAGCATTGGCTCTGCTGTCGTGGTCGAAGAATCTGGCGAGATGGTAGCAGGAGGCTCTCTTATCATGAGCATAGGGCTCTCACAGCATATAGCGAGGTACAGGATTTCCAAGTATGGATAGCCGATGAATTTTGGAGATGCCGAATTGAGGGGGTGTGTTGGAGGTGCGGATTAGCAATCCGGCATCTACGGAAAGGTCCGGGAAAGGTCCGTAGGGTTAGGATTAGTAAGGACAATGTCTCGAGAACAGTCTGGTAGTTTCTAGTCTTTTAGTTTACAGTATATAAGGAGCTCAACAGGCTTCTATGTAGTTAAGCCAATTTCTATCCTCTTCCACTCGTAGCCCGAGGCGCAGTTGCTTACATTCTCAGGTGCACCTCGTCTTCGTTGTCATAAGAATCTTCTAATGCCAGCCTTGCCCCAAGCTCTTAGAGTCCTCTTACGTCGGAGAACTCGAAGGACAGTGAGGGCACGTTCGGCCAACGTCGCCACATTGCATGATAGATGTGCATTCCCACCCATCCCTCTTTCCTTGCTCATTTTGCTGTGCAGGCAGTAAGTGTACTGCTTTTGACCTGCTCTATCACCCTATGCATATGGACCCTACTTATCAAACCTGGAACCTCAAACCACCGAAATATTATTATCACTCCTCATTTTGGTTGTCTCCATTTCAATGGTGTGGGCATAATACTGATACATGATTAAGGTATGTCTCCTTGCATAACATGTCATCAATAGGCAAAATATGATCAAACTCAAATCTAGGGAAGACTACATCTGCTTGTCGTACGTGATCACAGATCAGCTGCCACTACTACGGCCTTGCTGCGGTGATGCTCACTTGGTCTACCCATCAGGACGATTTATTGACCAGTTGCATCGGGGAATTCGCCTGGATCTTGTTTGAGCTTGCAGCGCTGACAAGCGTGACCAAGTGTGATGCGAGTTTGTAACCGCGTGTAAGAGCTTACAATCGACGTGTCGTGCTGGTACACATCTTGTGGGTCTTCGTCGCTATGGTATAACTATGCCCAGAGCATGCGCACAGGCCATTGCTGTTCTGTTTCGATCTTCGGAGCTACTCTGCATTCTACACGTCTTGTAACACCTTCCTGGCCGCAGCCCAGCTTGATGTTCGGCTTGCAACGTCTTGTCAGAGTGTTCCCACCTTGACTCCTCTGGACAAGAGATAGCTGATAATGCGACGCGCCGTGCCTTTCCCCTATGCCCTATCATAGCTATCATACGAGTTCCTGCTACTGGCCCTAAAGTGATCGGTACGCATATGAGCGTATGAGACGCAACGGGGAACGGCCGAAGCCGTAGAAGCGCAGCGGTACGACTGGGTGAGGGACGAGACCGGAGAGCGGAGCTGTAGTGACACGCGGGTCAGCGGAATGCTCCAGGTGTAAGACTCTGTATTCATACCTGCAGTGACACACGGGTCACTGCACGGATTTGTAAGTAATCAGTGGGATACATGAGAAGACGAAGACGTACGCGGAATGCTCCAGGTGTAAGACTCTGGAGCATTCTCTACTTCATACACAGTATAAGTATTCTAGGTGATCTTGTCTCGTAATCTTGAGAGACAAGACATTCGATGAGTTAACAAAAGAGACAATTAACACAAGAGAAATAAGACCATGCACGTATTATAAACGCGCCGTACAATAACCCGATCTCAGATTGCGACACTCCCCTTCAAACCTTCGCAAGTCCCATCGACGACGCGAAGTGTTTGCACTTCATTGATGGCAGCGCTTTCGTCAGGATGTCCGCTGTCATGTCCTCCATTGGACAGTACGACAGCGAGATCTTGCCTTCAGCAATGGCATAGCGAATAAAATGAAATCGTATGTCGATGTGCTTTGTTCGTGCATGGAAGCGGTCATCCTTTGCAAGTGCGATAGCTGACTGATTGTCGGAACGGAGAGGAAGAGACTGTTCAGGTTCACCAAAGAGTTCCTTGATGAACGAGCGAAGCCAGATGGCTTCCTTGCTTGCGTGCGTCAATGCGACGTATTCAGCCTCAGTCGTTGAGAGAGTGACGAGGCCCTGGCGCTTCGAGGACCATGAGACGGCGCCGCCGTTGAGCATAAACACGTAGCCCGAGATAGCGCAGCGCCCTTCCGTGCTCATGCCGTCAGCATCGGAGTAGCCTACAATATCGTTATCCTCCGAGCCACCGAGCACAAGCCAGACATCTGCTGTCCCTTTGAGGTACTGGTAGACGCGCTTCAAGGCATTCCAGTGCGCGATGCCAGGATTGTGACCGAATTGCGTGAGTTATCCAACAGCAAAAGTGATGTCAGGACGAGTGGCGACAGAGACATACTGTAGTGCTCCCAATGCCTCGAGATAAGGCTTGTCTCGCATAGCGGCATATTCGGCAGTGGAGACAGGACACTGGTCGATGGAGAGCTTGACGTGAGGATCCATAGGCTGGGAGAGAGACTTCGCATCCGAGAACCCATAGCGTGCAACGATCGACTCGATGTATGCGCGCTGCGAGAGCGCGATCGTGTGCTTCTCGAGGTTGCGCCGGACTTCAATGCCGAGGAGCCAGTGCAGCTCACCGTTGTCCGTGATTTCGAGTTCGGACTTGATCATCTCCTTGAGGCGAAGCAGGTTAGTGAGCAGCGAGCAGACGAGCGTCATGTCGTCGACGTGAAGGAATATAATGGATATTTCACCATCAGGGTGGTGCTGATAGAATACGGCATGGTCATGCTCAAGCTGCATGAGCTTAAAACCCTCGAGGATCTTGCGGAGACGGACATACCAGCGCCGTCCCGACTGGTGGAGTCCGTAGAGCACGACCAGGAGCAACAAGATTTTACCAGGTGTCAAGCCTTCGAGTTCGATGTCAGGGGGAGGGCGCATATAAATTTTCTCGTCCTCCTGCAGCTTGCCGTAGAGGTATGCGCTCTTGACATCGACTTGATGTGTGTGCCAGCTATTGCGAGCGGCGACCGAGAGGATGACGCGAATAGAAGCGAGCTTGCTGACCGCGGCATAGGTGTCATCCGAGAAATAATCGACGCCCTCGACTTGTGTGTAACCTTGAGCAACCAGGCGTGCACGGTAGCCGGTGACCTCGCCGCGGGCATCTCGCTTCGTGCGAAATACCCATTTCGAGCCAACAATGTTGTGGCCTGATGAACGCGGCGGTGGATCTGCGTATACCCACGCTTTCCTTGACTCCAGCCGCCGGATTTCGTCGTGCATTGCTTCTTGCCACTTTGGCCAATCTGGGCGATGCTTGGCTTCTGCAATGGAGCGCGGATCAAAACCTAGTGCATCAGATGCCGCAGAACCCACGGAATATGCGAGGACTTCGCATTCCTCACTCTGGTCAATTGTGATCTCGGTGAGTGCACCCTCAGCTCGTCCAGATGCTATGTCACGGAGCTTGGCACTTGGCGTGCGCTTGCGTTTCCCCTGGATGATATGAGGGTCCTGAGGCTCGTGAATCTCACCAGGCTCAAGTGATGGTGAGCGCTCGGGTTCAGGGGTATGGCGTGGACATTTAACGGGAGGCGGAGCGTCGTCGGGAATCCTTGAAGTAGGTCCTATGTCAAAATCTTGCTCCCCTTCGATGCGTGGAGACTCTGAGCTAAAAACAATGTTTCGCTCCACAGAAATCTTCCGCTCTTTTGGCCAATAAATGCGGTGGCCATTTGATGTCCAGTCCAGGCCTACCCAGCGTGCCTCACGCCCTTGGGCGTCAAACTTCGAGTCTGTCGCAACAGTAACGAAAACAATACTCCCCCACTCGTGTAAGTTTGAGACATCCGGTGCATGCCCATAGCGTGCCTCAAATGGCGACCGACCTTGGAGTGCATGGCGAGCTGTCCGGTTGTAAACATAGACGACGTAGGCCAGGGCTTCACCCCAGAGCCATTTCGGGAGACCAGACCCAGCGAGCGCAGCGCGCACACTGTTAAATACTGTAAGGTGTGTGCGTTCAGCGACACCATTGTGCTCAGGTGTGTCGTGCACTGTCAGTTTGCGAATCGTTCCAGCACGTTCTAGATGAGCATCCATATCTGCAGATAGAAACTCGCCGCCACGATCCGACTGTACAACCTTCACATGCACTCCGTCCTGCGTCTGGAGACGTGCCTCGAAGACAACGTATTTTCCAAATGCCTCAGACTTGACGCGCATGAGCGGCATCTCGAGCCATCGTGTTGCATCGTCGACGATCATCAAGACGTACTTGCAGCGGTCAATGGTGAAGATAGTCGCGGGCCCCCAGATATCCATGTGGACGTGTTCGCCAAATTTCTCGGCAAGTGGGGACTGGCGTGCGGAGGATATGGGTGCGCGACGAGCCTTCGCGACAAGACAGGTCTTGCACTCGACCTTTTCGCTGTTGTGTGGGTCGAGCGCGATACCGGTAAGGCAGTTCTGGTGCAGCATAGCCTTGATGTAACCATAGTTGACGTGACCAAGCCGCTTGTGGATTTCGAAAAGTGAGAGTGTGACGTGTGCAGTAGTGACCGAAGTCTGGGATGTGTCATAGAAAATCCTGTATAAGTTTTCCTCACGCGGAATATAGGCGATTACATCATCATGCCGATTGAAAAGCGTGAGTTCACCGTCCTTGCTGAGCCACTTGAATCCTGCGGCCTCAATAAGACCTATAGAAATTAAGGTTGCATGCATGGCGGGTGCGTGCAGGACCTGTTTAAGCCGAATGTGCTTGCCCCCATTCTCGAAGGGCAAGTGCATCAACATGTCTCCTTCGCCATGCGAATAGAAGACCTCCGAGTTTGCGGCACGAATGGGGTGCGGCGCAGTTGCACGAAAATTTGAGAGGCGGTCAAGATGCGGCGTCATATGCCGCGAGGCACCCGAGTCAAAAATGTCAACGTGGCGTCCGGATTCAACGAAGCCGACAAAAGCATGCTGTGCATCTGAAATTCGGATCTCCTCCTGGGCAGCTAAATCTGAGCAATCTATAACAATCTCCTCTTCACAGAGAGGAGTAAATGTCGCGCAGGCACTCCAGGCCTCTTCAATGTGCGCTGACGATGCAGGGGTCACAGTGGCCACAGATGCAGACGATTCCTTCGTCACACTGTCCTTGGGCTTTGCGTCTGCCTTCACCTTGCCCTCGCTCATGCCTGAGCTAGTAGATGCGGCCTCTGACTTCTTGGGCCGCTGATAGAACTGCTTTTTCGACGCGCATTCCGGGGCGCGATGCCCTTTGCCACCACACTTGAAGCATGTCAAGTCCTCCTCTGAACGGTGAGTGCCACTCTTGCTTGAGTTTCCACCACGTCCTCGATAGCCACTGCGTCCACGTCCTCGCATTCCACCACGTCCGTTGACAACAGCAGCACCAGCCGTGGTGCTTTTGTCAGTGGATTTGAGTACGGCACGCGAGTCCGCTTCTGCTCGAAGTGCCTTGATGATTTCCACAGAGGTCACAACGCGAAGCGTGGCACCGGTGGCCAAGGTCGAGTTGTAGATGTCGGTGGCTGTGGCAATGGCCGTGACAACAGGAGCAAAGGATCGAGGGATCGAGGTGGTGATAGCATTGATGTAAGTCCTGTCCTCAATCCGTACGTTCATCTCGGAAAGCTTGTCCTTCAGCTCTGAAAGCTGATCTAGATGATGGCGGACCTTGCGCTCATCCGTGCAGCGAAGCGAGAAGAGCTTCGCCTCCGTCCATGCCTCGGAAGCAGCGGTGGACATGCCAAACTCCGTTTTCAAGCCGGACATCACAAGATAGACCTCGGTGATGGTGAGGTACTTCTTGAAAAGTGAGTCTGGGAATTTCGCCGTGATCGCGTTGAGCATCTGCTTGTTCAGCTTCAAATTTGCAGCCGAGGAAGTGTCCGCTGCATGCTGGAGCAGATCTTCTGCTTCGCAAGCACCTGCAGCACGTTCGACGCGGCCGAGCCATATGCGGTAGTTCGAGCCGTCGGACGCAAGCTTTGGTACCTCGGAAAATTCCTTGGCAACGGTCGTGGACATGATGGGCAATGGGATTTGAATTTGAGCAGTCACAGTGGGAGATATGTACGTGAGGGTGTCAAAGTCAATCCGAACAAGATGAGCGAATGGCGAATCGGTTTGATAGGGAGGGAGATCTGTCAGATCTTCGACTTCGTATCCCTGTTGAAGTCGTAGTGTTCGCGAAGCGAAAGAATATGCGCTACGTGCAAGAGTAACAGTCTGTTGATAATGAGAGAAATATTTCATAAAATACCAGTACGCGCGCAAGAACAAGAGACACCTCAGCCGTTAAGGCCGGGGCTCATAACCTATGAGCATATGAGACGCAACGGGGAACGGCCGAAGCCGTAGAAGCACAGCGGTACGACTGGGTGAGGGACGAGACCGGAGAGCGGAGCTGCAGTGACACGCGGGTCAGCGGAATGCTCCAGGTGTAAGACTCTGTATTCATACCTGCAGTGACACACGGGTCACTGCACGGATTTGTAAGTAATCAGTGGGATACATGAGAAGACGAAGACGTACGCGGAATGCTCCAGGTGTAAGACTCTGGAGCATTCCCTACTTCATACACAGTATAAGTATTCTAGGTGATCTTGTCTCGTAATCTTGAGAGACAAGACATTCGATGAGTTAACAAAAGAGACAATTAACACAAGAGAAATAAGACCATGCACGTATTATAAATGCGCCGTACAATAACCCGATCTCAGATTGCGACAACGCATGTTGAACTTTCGGCGCATCCGTCCTTCTGTGTATCGTCTCTCTTCTTCTCCACTCACCACCTCCTGCATGTTGTGATGTGACTCCCGAGCTGTATGGTGCTCCACGGACATGTTTGTCTGTGTCAATGTATGGGGAGATATTTGTGTGCCTATATTCATCATCCTTGAGCTGAGAAGCTCCGTGGGTACTCCCATGTTGTTGTGTGAAGGGGATGGATGCCGTGTTTGACTACCATATTCACATCTCATTCTCCACAGATTTTAATGGTCGCTCACAGTGTCTGCGGACATGCGCAACAGTTTCCTCCCTCATCGCCCATATTTGGCCGTGACCCATCATGGCTTTCAGCAAATCCGGTGCCAGGGTATCCCTAGCACGTGTGCATGCGAATATTCGATGGTCATTGGTCGCACTGGTGGTCTGGCAGTTTTTGCGGTGGATTGGGGTGATTCAGTGTATGTGCGTATATTTGGAACAGTTGGCATTGGTATGGTTGAATATATTTGTTGACTTGGGTATCTCATGTCCGATATGGTGGTGAGTACTGGGGCTAGTGATATGACTGTGATTTGCTGCACTCGAATGGATGCTGTCGCACCTGGTGGTGAAATGTAAGGTCTTACAGGACACACAAGAGCTATCATCCTGCCTGAGTCCTGGAAGAACTCCGACCTTTCACAATGCTTATTGTTCTTGGCAAAGGCTGCATAGTCTTACCTTTGATTATACTCGTGACTACAAGCCTTCTACACCTTCTATATATGTTATATCTTGTAATGACTTACAATCGCTCATAAGACCCATACCAGAAAGATGCAAATTCCCCGATGTGATAGTCATTCATGGAAGCTTGCAGCACTCCTACACACAACCATGTCCACCGACAATGTGGATGCTCAGTCCCTCCCGGAGTCTGTTGGCAATGCCAGTGTCACGAGCTCGTCGCTGGATCAAATTCGCGCCGGGCAGAAAACCTCAAGCGGTCCCCCACCTGCTTCGGTGGGCCGTAGTGACATACCATAGGGCAACAGCACTATTACAATGCAGGAATTTTCATACAATGTGCAGTATGTTGACACCGCGGTCAAGAATATCGTGACACAAGACTTCGTGTGCTCTGTAGGAATTCACATACGAGGTAGAGTGAGGACAAGTGGTATGATGAAATGGACCGACATGCCAAGACCTTGAAAGAGATGCAGCATCTATATTTTCGAGGGGCTATATTGGACAAAAGTCCCTTGTCTTCATCAGTACATGAGCTTGCCTGCTTTATATTGCCCTTCATAGCAGCATCATTTGGGACGCACCCATGTTCTTTGATGCACAAAGTCATTCCAGATTTTAACAAGTATCTTCAGAAGATATACTGCGGATATGGGCTGGTGACTTTCTTTCAAAAAATTGGAAGCCTTGCAGTTGGTATGTGCATTACCGCGCTATCTATCGTCCAGTGACCTCATGGACGAGAAAATCACAGTAACGTAAGACAACGACGACGTGTGAACCCTGACATGGATCTCGATTCGTCGCTGTATGTGCCCCTTCGCATTCTGCGAACAGTCCAAGTCGGCGCTTGTACCACACAGGAATACTTACCTCGTCCACTGCACCATCCCAAGGTCCCAAGGTAGTAGACCTGGTGCTCAGTGGTGTCACCGCCCAGGTCGCAGGGGAGTGCGGGAGGGACAGTTAGAGGTCTCGCTGAGTGCTGTATACTACACATATGCACACCTGTTTGTTACTCACTCCTTCATCCCCTTGCGGATAAAGGGTAATCTTTGCTTTCGTACTATCTCCAAAATGCCAGTCTTGTACCGAATTGCCCAGGTACCGTGTCGTCACGGCGTCCTAAAGCAATTGTGCTAAACCTATAATCTATCGTTCATCTGGAGTGGTGTCATCACTCTTGAATCTCACCTACAAAGAGTGAGTGGCCGGAACGGCAGTGGCTGAGGTGAGATTGCACGGCGCACATCATGGCAAGAACATTGAAGCTGAATGTCCTTACTATGTCGTGCATCGTGCAACTTCGGCATCCGTGTATGAGCTTCTTGCCCTCTACGTCATCGCTCTTGCATTCATGATTCGTTTGTGTCTCCTATGTCTGTATCAGAAGCGGCGGCTACTTTATCCGGATCCAGGACCAGGAGCTGTGAGCAGACAAACAGTTGCAGATCAGCGAGCACACCGTATGGCAGTTGAGCGTGAAAGTAAAGGGAACTGTCTGATCTACTTTGACTAGCGCGAGGTTGACATCCACTCCTGAGCTCGAACAGGATCAGCTCATACCACGAGGTCAATCCATGGTTAGAAAGAAGCACGCGCTCGTGACCGATAACGTCTTGTACCGCCATGTCTAGAGAGTAGCAGAGGCTTCGCCGCGGAGAAATGGTAAGAACCCTCGGAATGAGTGTCTTCCCCAGGTAAGACATGCTGATATATTCGAAATGACGCGTACTTGCGCACCTACATGGACATGCACGGACGATCTCCGAAGATGCAAGTCCTGGCCGAGAGTCCAGGACCGCCGCTCCGTCCCGAAGGAAACGGTACAGATAATATTGTGACTATAGCGGGGTTGAGACTCATGGTTGCTTCTATCATGGCGAAGAATGATGATATCGATGAGACAGATGACGTTCCAAAGAAAGCGGAAGAAATGCACAATACGTACGAAACAGCGTCGGAGCGAGGTCATCAAGGGGGCAAGCGACGACAAGCAATAGACACCCGTCACATGAAGATGGGAGAAATGTATTCGGCGCACATACCAAACTGCGCGCCCTCGGGTGCCCTGCTGGAGAGAGAGCCTCATGAGCCTGAGAGCGGACCGGGCGAACTGGTAGTAACCCGATGCGCAAGTTTTCGGTCAAGATGACGGAAGATCGTCTCCTCCTTTGCCCTTCCACCCCTTCCCGCTCCTCCAGCTTCTTCCTCCGTTCATAGACTCACGTAGATTGTCCCCTATCGCGGCGATATCAATGATTACGGTGGAATGAGGGAGTCGGTTATAGAGACTCGAGAACGAACTTGCTCTGCAGGCTGGAAAAAGGAAAGATTAGGTAATCAATGACTCATGCCGAGTGTTTATCTTGGTTGATAGAATTCCAATCGAAAACTGTACACACGGCATCCTTACGCTCTGGCAGCTGTTTCGCTTCCTCTTCAGTTACAAATTCCTCAAAAGACTTTGAACAAGTCACTTTCTTCCCCTTCTTTCTCGTCCCCTGCACTGATGACCGCTCACAGTGACGAAGAAACGCCCCTCTTGCAGCCTGACTCCCCGCTGCTTAAGCCGGCCCGTACGCCTTTGCCATGGGCCCAGCTAACGATTCTTCTTGTCCTTCAACTGGCTGAGCCTCTCACCAGTCAGGTTATTTCTCCTTTCGCGCCCGACGTGAGTGACTTGGCATTCCCATTACGCTCAATAGACTGATATAACTCCTCCACCAGCTTATTCGTAACATTGGGATCACCGGTGGCGACGAGACCAAGGTGGGGTATTATGTTGGCTTGATGGTATGTTTCTGTAGCATGATCTTACCGATCTATTCTTGCTAACATCGGAGCCGTGCAGCACTCCATTTTCTTTGCCACTCAAGCGCTCACCGTCCTTCATTGGAGTCGTATTTCGGATCATCTTGGTCGAAAGCCCATCATCATGACCGGCCTGACTGGACTGTCTTTGTCCATGTACTGTTTCGGCCTGTCAAGGACGTTTTGGAGTCTCGTGGTCAGGCGAGTCTTTGGTGCAGTTATTTCTCACTGTGTGGCTCATACTCCTCGATATTTGTAGCCGGTGTCTTAACGGCGCACTGAACGGCAACATTGGAGTCCTCAAGAGCATGGTAGCTGAAATTACGGACTCGACGAACCTCGCCGAAGCATATTCATATCTACCACTTTCTTGGTTGACTGGTGCAACGATGGGGTGAGTCATTTTTGATCAGCAATCGTCGCTTACCATTGCTCTAACATTTCCCCTTCAGTCCCATGATCGGTGGATCACTATCAAGACCTCACGAACGGTTTCCTTCTGTATTCGGTCATTCGGAATTCATGCAGAAATATCCTTATTTTCTTCCTTGCGCCATTCCGGCTACGTTCTCTGCCGTAGCAGTCTTGGTTAGCTTTTTCTTCTTGAAAGAGGTAAATACTGCGCGCAGGTTCTGTGGCATACAGCTCATGGATATTCTCCTTTCTTCAGACCGTAGTGTCTCCAGTTTCCATTCACCAGTTGTTGCGGAATCGCCTGAACAAGTCGGACCACAATGACATAGACGGTGCCAAAATTTCTTCCCCCCTTATTTCTCGCAAGGCCTCTACGAAGCCGCTTCCTCTCAGACGTCTCTTAATCCCACGCGTCCTCGTCTCCGGTGGCAACTATGCGCTGCTCGCTATCGTTGACATCTGCTATAGATCTGTGCAGCCTGTCTACCTCTCGACTCCCATTGAGCTTGGCGGACTGGGTCTATCGCCTCCGGCAATTGGAGCGATCCTCTCCACCTACGGGATCTCCAACGGACTGTTGCAGATCTTCTTTTTCGCCAAAGTGATCGAGCTTTGGGGCCCGAAGAAGGTGCACATCGTTGGCATTGCATCGGCGTTGCCCGTATTCGCCCTCTTCCCGATAATTAACCTTCTGGCCAAAGCCGAAGGATACAGTACGATTGTATGGGCAGCGTTGTTCCTACAGTGTGCTATCTCGATAGCAATCAACTTTTGTTATGGTGAGTCGTTATCACCGCTATGTTCCCGGATCCAGCTCAGACGATATATCGACAGGCAGCATTTTTATGTACATCACGGCCTCGTCGCCTAACAAAGCGTCACTTGGGTCGGTCAACGGCCTAGCTCAAATGAGCGTGTCCATCATGCGCGCAGTGGGCCCTGCACTCGCGAACTCCTTGTTCTCGATCTCGATCGACCAGGAGCACCACTACATGGGCGGTCTGTTCGTGTACTGGTGCCTCGCGGCCCTAACGTGCGTCGCGCTCTGGGGGGCGAGCCTGTTGCCGGCTCAAGTGTGGCAGAACGAGGTGCTGGTGGATGACGACGTATCTGAGTCATGACCGCGACGACATTCACGATAATCGTGACGAACGCGGTAAATAGAAATTACAGGATTACCCTTCTACGGATGTAGCTGTAGCTCGCGCCTGTTGTTATTTTTATTTGCATACGAAGCATTGATGCAATCCAACTTGATTTTCAGTGTTCTCAGGGCTTGCCTTGTACATGTGTCTGTACTGTACGGCGGCGGTGCTCGATTACCAACCTGTGTATTTGTCATGCCTGTTGGTCACGGCCACGTGGCGTAAACAAAGGACAGCCTGCGCCACAGCTGCTCAGCGCTGTCTACCATAACCACTTCCACGTTCATATCTGATTCCCCTCTGGGCCTGCTCTCGCTCTTTCGCCCTCGACTTCCCACACAGCACTAACCCTTCCTCTATGTCGACGTCTTTCGCGGCGCTCATGGCGCTGAGCGCCACCCAAACCCGACAGTCCGATGCAGCAGTCCAGTCTGCGCTCGCCGAACGCCAGAGGAAGGAGGCACAGCGACGAAAGGAGCAGGAGGATCGGGATCGGCGCGAGCGGGAGGTCGAGGCGAAGCTCAGGCTCAAGCGACTGGAGGACGAGAAGCGCGAGCAGGAGCGGCAGCGGCGTCTCGAGGAAGAGCGGGGGGCGAAGGAGCGCGAGCAGCGCCGCAAGCAGGAGCAGGAGCGTGATGCGCTGCGATATGGGCCGAAGAAAGCCAGGACGGACAAGAACGGGTATCCAGTCTCGGGTGCTGCCCGCCGTCGCTCGTCTTCGTCGGACGACGAGTCTGCCGGGGCGAATGCCCTCACGCGCGAGGAGAAGCGCCGGCGCCGCTTGGAGTCGGAGATGCGCGGACGAAGCGCCCCCAGACGCAGCACGCACACTGGATACAGCAAGGCTGGGAGGAGGCTCCCGGGTGGTGCAGTGGATATCACCACGACGGAGGCGTCTTTCTTATCGGAACCCAGTGGCTCACAGTCCATACGGGAGCGTGTTGCTGCTGAGCCCGCCAAGCTCATCAAGCTGAATGTCAACAAGCGCGATACACGCACCATTGACGAGATTCTTCAGGACAGGGCGAAGGCTCGTGCTAAGACTCTCGATGGGGACCAGGCCCGTAGTTTCAGTGATTGGTTTGGCAAAGGGAAGAAGGAGTCGCCGAAGAAGCCAACTCCTCAGATAGGCTCTGCGTCGACCTCTCGTGACAATACACCGGGGACGAAGACAAGCAGCGGCTATGCGTCACCTGCTGCGCATTCTGCTGGACTGCCTAAAGTCCCTCCTGCCAAGTCATCCGCCGCATCTGCAACAATTACAAGTAAGGCCGGCGCGAGGCAGCTCACACGAGCACCTAGTGCTCTTGCGAGCAGACCTGCCGCTTCATCGTCGAAATCGCTCCAGAAGAACGCTCCATCTAACGGCTCCATACGAGCGCCTGTTCCCCGACGCTCTCCTGCCTCGTTTTCTGCCAAAGCCAGCACTTCCACGAGCAAGCCGGCCGCGAAGAAGCGACCCCGCTCACCCTCGATGTCGCCGACTCCTTCGCCTCCTCCACCATCGAAGAAGCGTGCGCCAGAGCGTGGCGGCTCTGCGTTAGGCGCAGAGATTTGGAAGATCTTCGGCAAGGATAGGACGGCGTACACGGCGCGGGACGTCTTGAGCGACGACGAGGACATGGAAGCGGATGTTCGGTCCCTTGAATTCGAGGAAGCACAAAGGTCAGGGTGTATTCTATTGTGCCAGTTCTCCGATATGATTCTGTATCATATTGTGACGGACGTGATACTAATCGTTCCCGTTATAGTTCGCGTATCGCCAAGCGCGAGGAGGAGGCGGCTATAGAGGAAGAGCGACGCCACGAAGAGGAAAAGCGCAGGCGCAGGAAGGAGAAGGAACTCAGGGAGAAGAGGGCTTGAATGGACTATGGTATGTTATGCTTCTTGGATGTTGGTCCGTCCTTATGGATGGAGCGGGAAGACCACCGTGCCCTGCCCGCACTTGCTCAATTTCTATGTACAGACTGATATCGTTCTCTGCATCCCCACACAACCGCTGTATGCTCTTGTTTTATCACCATTATACCAAGCACGGATTTGCATCGACTTTATGTTGCATACTCACCTCGTAGACTGCATGCTCTACACTATTACACCCGATTTTGATTGTAATAACACCCGCCCGAATACACTATGTGTAATATCCTAGGCCTGACGAGCAGAGGGCGACTTTGATTCTGAGCAATTATTGACTACATGTACTTGAGACTTTAAACGATAATTTCGACAGCAAGACAACGGAGTAGAGAATAAAGACGCAAAGGTGCAATGAACAGGGGAAACGATGCGCGAAAACTGCAGGCAAAACACGATGGACCTTCACCCACTCTCTTCCATCTTGAATCTCTTCCGCGGTCCGTCAGGCGTGTACTGTCCACTTCCGCCACCTGCGCTAGCTCCCTGCATAAACGCTGGGTTAAAGTGCCCCTGCACATTCGCAAAGCCGCCACGGCCTCCCATGGGCATCATCCCCATGCCTATATGCGTGTACGAGAAAACACAAATCAGTCAGAGAATCCATCCTATGCGAACACTAGAAACCCGTACCCATACCGCCCATCATACCGCCGCCTCTGCTTCCATACCCTGTACCGGTAGTCATCATGCCGCCCCTCGGACCCTGCGGAATCATGCCCCCGCGCCCGCCGGCGAACCCGCCACCCATGCCCATACCCATGTTACCCATGCCCATGTTGCCCATGCCCATGCCCAATCCCATACCTAACATGGGCATTCCACCACGCATCATGCCCCCGGGCATCATACCACCGCGCATGCCCATGTTCATCATGTTCATGCCCATCTGGTTGCCCATGCCCCCACTCACGGCCCCCCCTGCGGCACCGCCGCGGAAGGTTCCACTGGTGCCGCGCCCGGCGTGGGCGCTTCCAGTGACTGCCCCGCCCTGATGCCGCATTTCTCGCGGAGGAGGTTCTGTGGCTCAGTCAGCAGGTCTGGTTATATATGAGAAAAGAGGACTTTACCTTTGGGCAGCGTTCGGAATGGGTTGCCCTGTGACGAGCTTGTCAAATTCGCCGACGCTCGGCGATTCTGGAAATCACTGAAAATCACAAATCGTCAGAAAATACCGAGAGACGTCGATGATAGCTCACTTGTTGTCAAACCAGTTCTTCAAAACAGTGGCGTTCTCAAAGCCACGACATTCTACGTATGCGATCCTACATAACACATGTCAATAGAGACCAGCCAAGCGTATATAGCGAAACTTACCCCTTGCTCTTGCCGTTTACTTTGTGTTCTGAGAAGGTGATGTCCTTGTGGTCGAGGTTTACACCTACATTGATTGCGACTTGTCGGAGGTCCTCATCAGTTGTCCACTGTAAAAGATGAGACAAGAAATAACATGAAGTAATCTCAGAATGACATGCACATGACGAAACTAGAGAACATCTGGACAAACGGACCCATTGCAGATCTCCGACGTACAACGCGTCAAATGCACCCTGTCCAGCACCTCCGCCGTTGATCCCCTGTACGCCGGTGACGGGTGTGTTGAAGGTACCATTAACGGCACCGTTCGGACTCCGCGAGTCGACCGCGACGAGTGGCTTGACATCATTATCGGCGTCGGCGTGTGCTGAAAGGTCGGTATGGTGATGTTGGTGTTCCTCCAAGTGCTCGGATTCGTCGTCTTCCCTCTGGCGCTTTTCTCCCACGATCGGCGAGCTGGGCGTTCGTTCGACAACGTGTTCTTTGCTATCTTCGGGCACATGGTACTCTTCGAGCGACTGGTGTTCCAGAAAAAGATCAACGTTCAGCGAAGTCTGCGCAGGATGCTGACGCTCACCTCTGCTGATTTGGGGGCGTTAAAGCCGTCGTCTTCGCCATAAATGTCGAAGTCGTCCTCAGGCATTTTTTGCAAACTCAAAACGCGAACAGAGGAAGGGGAATAAAACTTCGTTTCACTGGTGCAGAAGATGACAGGAGGGGTGCGTATCGACGGACAGGAAGAGAGCGAGACAACAGGATGCGGTGGTCGTCAGATACAGATGCGAGAGTAAAGGAGCCGCACGTCGATGGGTGAAGCGACTCTTACAAGTATGAATACAGATGCGCGAGCGCTGACACTCTACTGATTCCTCCTTCTCAGAGATACACGAGTGGATACGGCACGCAGGCCTGGACAGACAGCGATGGAGATGGCGAGGAAAGAGGTGGACGCGGTCTCGACGACGGTCGAGGTTGTGGAAGTCGCGAAGCAAAATGGACAAGACGAACTGGAGCGCCGGCGCTCGTCATGTAGCATTGTTTGGCTCTATTTGGGGCACCCGCGACTTGCACAAAATACAGATTTTTTCTGTGAAGCATCTCCTCTCGAAGATTAGAGGTATCGGCTAGGATCAGTGCAAGCAACAATCCCCTCGCCTTTTACTAGGGGATTCTGTGTTCTGGTTCCATCTGCAGCCGTGTGGGAATTTTTCAGACAGTCACTTCCTTGAGAAGTAATCATTCTTTTTAATGTTTTACCCTACTTTCACCTCGCTGTAGCATTCAGCAATACGTCCGCCTGTCCTGCATATAATCATTTTTGGCGGCTGAGCACTGCAACACAACGTGTTTGTTGAACGACTTTGGTGTCCACTTAGTCGTTCCATAGTGTGAGCGCAGCGAGCCGCACCGACGCGTCACGATCACGCCTTCCCACCTTACTTCCAATTCATTGATCATTTCCGAACGTCGCGTGAGCAACAAGGGCCACTTCTTTTGAGGCTTACAACAGTTTGGGTCTGGCGTTCGTGTAGAAGCTAGCTATTCGCATCACCATAGCAGACGCTCGTCTACCGTGACAGCATACTCTCAGGCTCGTACGTCTGTCGTATCACTTGCCTCAGCAATTCTCAGCTCAAGCTTCAAGCTCTGCTGAAGGGGTCGGTATGGCTGAGCACCTCAATCAGGAAGAGGAGACCCTCTTGCAGGTGCCGTGACTAAAGCAATGCTCTCTCTGTGTACTGATCACTCCGGCTGCAGTCGGCTCTGTCGACAGCGTTCACGCCCATACCTCTGCCTCACCAAGCTGCTCATACCGAGCCTCCACAAGTATTCTCTGAATCCGTGACGGCTGCTGCTGCATCTTCAGTTCCGGGACTAGATCTTGGGTCAAGTGGGGAGCCGGAGTCAGGCGAGACGGTCTGGAAAGCTGAGTACGAGGCACACGTCGCAGAATGGCGCCAACGGTCTGCAGAGCAGCGGCAGAAGGCGGAGGAGGAGCGCGCACGCTGGGAGGCGATACGGAGGGAAGAGAAGAGCGCAGAGAGCGAGGCGGACGTTGCTAGTACGCACGGGAAGGGAGAGAGCGGCTGGGAGAGCCTCGGTGCGTCCGGTCTGAGCGGTGCAACAGCTGCCACCTCTCCCTCTCTCGCAGATGTGCGGGATCTCGTGTCTGGCGAGGGCCAAGGTGCGCATACGAAGGTGTACCTCGATGTGCGTGCCCGACCCTTCTGCGCATGTTCCTCGTGCTGATTATTACGTAGACTGTCCTTCCTGGCTCTTCGCAACGCCGCGGTACGTCGGAACCCGAATCACCCAAGCACGATAAGTGGGAGGACATCCCGTCTTCGCTTGCCTCGTCCTACCCCTCCATGTCCTTCCCCTCAGACCCACACTCGCCCTCCTCCTCCCACCCCCACGCGCTCCCGCCGCACGCACGCTCGCACCCGCACGACCACCCTGCGCACCATCAAGCCCCTGCGCACGGCGACCACCACCACGCGTCGCACTCGACAACGCTCGCCGTGTTCGACAGCACGCTCTCGCCCCGCACGCGCGTGCTCGCGTTGCTCTCGAGCCTCGCGATCAATTTCTTCCTGCCTTTCGTCAACGGCGTCATGCTCGGCTGCGGTGAAGTCTTCGCCAAGCACGTTATTGTCGGCTGGCTCGGTTGGCCGATAGCCAGCACCAAGCCTGGCTCATTAGCGGCGAATGTTGGATTGGGCAGGTCGAAGGGGAAAGATCCGCAGAGAGAGCAGACAAGAAACTCCCAATAGGGCGCCAAATATCCGATTGCTTTATTCTGCAGCTCACGGATGGAGTCACATTATGCAAAAAACTAATTTGGAGGGCTTGTGCCGTGCAGGAATGCACCGTGCATTTCTGTCTTAGCTCTGAGTTGAAGATCACGAAAGCTCCCGGAAACTTGAAAGACACAGTTCACACTAGTCAGCACACGTGAATATTAATGCGTGCTCTCGCCAGTAGTAACAAACAAAATGACTGCGAGCTATAACGATCCATATACGAGTCCGAGCGTACTAAAGGCTGCAAAGCGATGCATGGGGGAATTCTGACCGCTTCATCCCCCCTTCCCATTCAGCACGCGTTGTACGATCTCCTCCTGTCTCGCAATCCACACCCCGAACGCAGGCGAGCGCAGCCAGCGCTTGTAGAACTCGCGCGCCTTCCCCGAGCTCTTGAACGGGAGCGGCTTGGTAGCACCGTGCGCGCTTAGCGACGCGAGAAACGCGCGTTCGCTAAACGGCTTAAGCCGCAGAGGCACCTCGCGGGGAGCCGCGTGTGTATTCGTAGTTATATGCACGTTCGCGGTAGGGGTGGTATGGTAGGGCGTGGGTGTGACAGCAGACGAGAGTGTAGATGGAGCGGGTGAAGGAGACGGTGATGTAGAAGGGGTCGGAGACGGTGAGGTGGATGTACTGGATACGGGAGATGCTGGGACGTTGATGTCTGGGATGGACATGGGCGCAAATGCGGGAAATCTCGCGAGTGCGCGAGCTGATTCTGATGGTGTGGGTATAAGAGTTTGCAGGTATCGTTGAAGGGGAACGAGGAATGCGGCTGTGCGAGAGGAGAAATGTTGATGGAGCATGGCCGAAGCTCGTCTCTCTGAGCCGTAAACTTTCTGTCGGTACAGCGGTGAACTGAGAGAAATGGCAGGCGCACTGGATATATCCGAGCCACGGCATGCATCCTGCACTTGTTGCAAGAGAGCGCGATCCCGAGAGATGTATCGTTTGTGGGTCCGAGACGTCCACCCCGGTGAAGGACCTATGGCAGTATCCTCTCTTGAATCCTTACCGGTCCCAGATTTCTTTCTGGTTTGACCATCCCATAGAATTTCAGCACCCAATGTACGGCTGAAAATATTACAGTCAAACTCACGGAGGCAGTCGACCAAGGCTGAGGACATGCGGCCAGTGCTTGCATGCTCGATCAAAGAAAGGATTCGTGACCCCGAGGAGAAGCCCCGCTTGTGGGGGACGGGGATTAACGAGGACGGTGTGATCGGCATCATGGATTGTGAAAAACGGTCGGAAGTCGCCTGCGAGTGGGATCTATTCGCGGTCAAATGTTCCTTCAGATTGTGGTCTTGTATGCGACGCCAAGGTGGAGGAACGTACCGGGCGTAGAAGATCACGTAACCACCAGATGGCTTGGCTCGTCATAGCGGGGGAGGGCGCATATACTAGGATCGGCTCACAGAGGATGAGACACTCCCAGATGGACCACAAATGTTGAAGAGAAGCCTCATATAGAGAAATAATCGGTGGCTCGGCAGGAGAAAGCGATGGAAGGATCTGGAAAGCTGATTAGCATACATACAGAAATCTCGTCGGACGAAGAGAACTGGATTTGCCATTTCAACACTCTGTCGAACTGTAGACCTTGTGATGGGCAGTTGTTGTGTGTCAATGCTGTGAGGAAGCTCCACTTGGAGGACAGCCCCTAGGAAACCAAGCTCCAGGGTCGCATCAGGACATGGGTTTGGCCTTCTTTTTGGAGTAACATCAACAATATAACGAGTGGTTGAATGTGGTGCACGTACCACTTCGCAATGTTGTGGCAAGCAACTTCGAGCACGGACCCGCCGTGTGCGAGGAAAGATGGCCCTAGCTTGGTAAGGAGAGCATAAAACAAAGATGGGTAGGGTAGATGAGAAAGAAGGACGAGCGAACGCTGGTGGGGTGAAAGTTCAGCATTGTAAAACATTCAGCGAAGAATATAACGAGCACAACGGTAGGCATTCGCTAGATGGTAGGTAGTTGTCAACGAGTGCCTTTCATATCTTAGTATTACCCCGACGGAGATCACTAATCTTCGAGTCCTGGGCAGGACGATCATACATACCTGCTGGTAGCCTCGCTTCGACGTGTTATCCTTTCGTTGAGTGAAGTGCGAATACCCGTAAATAAATCCATCCTCCGTTACTGGGCGCTGGTGCGAAAGTACACCCTCAAGACTTTCGTGTGCTCGAATTCGGAACGAGTGGATCTGGGAACCTTCCTCGGTATGCGGTGCATCCGGAAAAGACGAGAACGCTCTTTGAAATGACTAAACTTAATATGTATCTTCACTCGGGAAGCGGAAATCCACTGACATATTCTCCTCTTCGGATAGGGTGAAGCCTAACGGTGGGTAAACATTGCGTATCTTGGGACCCACTTCCAAGTCAAAGTCGACTACACACATGTACATGTCAACATGGTTATGACGCCAAAATAGTACGGAAGACGGTCTTTCCTACTACCAGAGCGGATATCCATCGTCGAAGCCCTGCGACCTTCGAAGGCTCCATCAACAGGCTGCCATGGTTCACGTTGCATTGTTCGAATTTCGGCTGAGTGTTTGAACGCGCAATGGCAGGTCGCTCCAGAGGTGATGATGCCTCCACTGTGAAGTTCACGTTCGGTAACGACGGAGACTTCAGCGGACTCGCAAAGGGTGGGGAAAATGAAGATCGTGACAGATTAACCAGTCCAATATCAGATTCCGCTTCTTCAAACATGACACCCAGAAAGAAATAGTCAAAAGAGCTGGCAAAGGGGGCAGAAAACGAGTTTTACGCAAGGGTGAACGCGCACGTGATGCCGGCGTCGCGTCCCTGTGACCTATGCATGTGACCCGGCGGGACGCGTCTTATCCTTCGACCATCATCATCACTTCTCAAGTTGTCAAGCATTCTTGCCCCCATCCTTACCCAGCGTAGCGACATCGGCTAGAGAGACAAGTGGTCCAATTTTCTCGTATCTTACTGCCTCTTAGAAGCGATATCATGGCGGGTGCAAACTACATGGGCGGCAAAAGGTCAATTTTCCATCATACCAACTCTTACTGCTCTCATTTCCTGCTTGCATCTTGCTGTATAGAAATGCGGCAAAAGCTCGCGTGAAAGATGCGACGGGGAGGGCACAAAGGAACCACTTCGGGAAACAGAAGCTCAGCGTTCTCTCGACAGGCCTGTGCAAGTTGCAGGGACCGCGTGGTGGGGCTGCGTCTAGGAGCAGCGTTGGTGCTTCTGGAATTACGCTCGCACACGCTCAGCGCTACTCTTTACCCAAGGCATCCTGTCCACCTGCGTCTCCCGTTCTACACGCGTTCGTGGAGTCACCAGTCACACCTCCCCGCCAGTACGACCGCCTGAGAATCGGTATCCCGCCGTTTGTTTCGAGTGGGAGCACGAGGAGCGGAACCACGAGGAATCGTAAGTCCAGGATTTTGAGCGCTTTAGACACATCTGCGCGTACGTCCTTCACTGCTTACATGCATCGGCAAACGTTTGATTTAGGTCATCTAGCTATTTTCTTGAGGGCTGAGATGGATCGTATCCGTTCGATTCCTGACCTTGCTGGCCTCCCCGACAAACCTCAAGTATTACCCCCGTTTTCCAGAGCTTCAAAATGCGCTCGCAGTACCGGGATGCCTAGTATTGATCATGATGTTCTGACCCTAGAAGGGTCATCCCCAGTAGAACCAGAGCGAAAGAGGGTACATTATATTGATTAACTCCTTCTGTTATTTGGTTTTGACATCGACGACAGCGCAGAATTTCCACCCTAGCATCAGGTGCACGCAGGGGCTCTCCAGGTGGGTTTCGGTATGGGACTGCCGAATTCCCTGACTCGAGCAAGACCTTGGATGGTGCAAGTCTCTCCAGTGAGGCAAGATTTTTCCGACCACCAAAATTTCTAGGTTGATTTCTGTGTTTCCCCACTCGATCGGCATTAACATTTGATAGGTTGTCTTGCCACAGGTGCGAGCAATTTGCATCAGCTGGACCTTCCGTGCAGCAGTAGACTCGGAGATCATGCTTGCGTACCCCATCTTGCCTTTAGTGACCTAGCGCATGCAGAGCCGGGTTTCGTGCCAATGCCTCTTGACAGCAGCCCGTTACTTCACGAGGACTCGGGTTACGCAGAATTCGCGGCTGGTTTGGATAACGTCGAAGAAAATGCCTCCTCTGTTGACTACGAACCAACTAGATACTGTTTTTATCGCGACTTCAGCCCACCTCAGTCCCCTGTTCACCAGAATGCACCACACATGCAGTTACCCTCCACTCCTCCTGCCTTCTGTGACAAAAAAGTATTCCAACCTCTGGATGCCGTCAATATGCCTACTTACATTGGCATTCTTACAACACCTCATTCCCCGGCGCTGTCTTCCGCAAGATGGCTGTTGTCTAGCAGTCCTTCACCTTCGCAGGGTTCTCTACTATTCTCCCAGGAGTACCCACCTGACAGGTATATTACTCAAGTGAATAATACTCGCTTGCAAGACGTGGCCCAGATGCCCGACTCTGATCTAACTTTGGACTCTGGATCTGCCTCTTCGCCAACGCCGGCCAGCACTGCCTCCTACGGTTTCCCAAGCTCTGCAGACGACTCGTCCCTTGCGTCCCTTTATGCTCGTTCTGTGCCTCCTGGCGATCCTGAGGAACCACCGCTGGTTAGACAGACACTCATTGACGCTCTCCAAGGCGAGCTGTTCGAAGGCGCGGACCCATGGCGAGCGCTCGACCGCATTCTGGGCCTGCAACCTTCCTCTGACTTTGCCTCGGAACAAACTCGATTCTCAGTGGATCAGCTCAGACTGTCGGATGCTCGCGGTCTCCATGCGGCTCATGATAGAAGCGGTGTGGGGTACCATGCTCCGCGAGCGTCTTCGGCTGTATACCCTAGAAATGCGGAGATCCGTCCGGTGGAAGCGCTACCTGACACGTCTGAGGACGCGGATGCTGACGCAGACCTGCTAGGCACTGCCGGTGTAGACACGAACGTCTGCGACAGCGACTCCGGAGATTTGATGAATGTCGTCTCACTAGCTGCATCTGACCTTGCGCTAGAACCACCTGTCAAATCTTGGCATACAAGTCCAATTGAAGGAGAAGACGAAGTGCGTCTAAAAGAGGTCCTGACTCCGTGGAGTACTTCGCCAGTGCAGGAAGCAGTTCTCGATCACGAAGTGCTCCGATGCGACGAGTTGGCTAAGGACCGATTCACTGACGCGCGCGACCATGTTGCCAGTACACAGGTACGAGGTTTTATCCTGGGTGTTAGAGCTGATAGTGACATCGACCAGCTGGACACCGCCGCGAATAAGGACGACGCTCGGCGTCTTATAATATCTTACGCCGACCCACTCGATGGACCAGACGTGCTATCTGCTGGTGGTGACGAAAATCTTGACGGGCCGTCTCTTTTTTCGGATGTGGACATCGAGGACGATTAATACAAGCACTGTTTCCGGTGTTGTACAAATGCTCATACAGTGCATTGTAGAACGTCTTGAGTGCAAGAGCTTGTGCTCACCGGCTGTCGTGATATTGTCCGTTACCGAAGGTTGGAGAGAATCATGCACGGGTGAACATGGCCCACCAGGCCCACAGAGATATCGGTGATTTGGCGGAAGTTGTGATAAAAATTTGGAGGATAGGCTGCAGGCTTGAGCTCTGTGCCTGCCAAAACGAGGTAAATCTCCGGATCTGGTGGACTTGGGCACGTGATGAGATCACCGTTATCACATGTTATTGGAGGGGCGCTATGATATGCATGATCCTCGAAGCATCCACCTCCAGATACTGCCCCTTCCTCTGTTTTCCACCGGACTTGCTGCATCTTTCCTTCATTTGATTCTGACATGGCTTCCAGGGAGCTCAGACAATTCACGAGAGACGAGGTTTCGCAGGTACGCCTCCGCGCACCGGTAGATCTGATCTGTCGCATTGACCGCCGAGATCCCGTCTAGCATAACAAGCCGGACGACCTGGTAGGTTTTTTGAAATCTGGGAAATGGTCTTATCCGAGTCAACCATGTTGTCTGCAGTGGATTATTGTCGACTCCAAAGTATATGATGTCACCAGATTTAAAGATCTCCATCCCGGAGGCGCGTCGGTATTCCTCGAAGAGGATATTAGTGAGTAGGGTTTCGCCTTCCTATCTACAATATTGCTGACCGATATGTCCTTGCGGACCGTTGTATCTCAAACAGGCGGTCGAGACGCGACCGAAGCCTTCTATGGGCTTCACCGTCACGAGGTGCTCAAGAGGCCTCAATACGCTCGCTTGCAAATTGGTACAGTCCAAGGCGAGCAGAGTATCGTGATTGATGGCGTACCTGGTGAGGTTAGTAAAGTACCCTATGCGGAGCCAACTTGGCTTGTCGAAGGATACTACAGCCCGTACTTCACGGAGGTGAGGCCCCAAGAGACTCCCAGCCACTCTGAAGTTAACTTTTCCTTATCAGAACCATAGGCAGTTCCAGAAGATTGTCAGGAAGTTTGTTGACGAATTCGTTGTCCCGGACGCTCGAGTGAGTTTTACACGATGTTGTTACTCGCTCACTCGACTCTTAACAATACCAAAGGCTAGAGAGGAAGACGGCAAACGGCCGTCGCAAAGTGTAATTGACAAGATGGCGTAAGTGTAAGTTACCAGACCTTGCTGTGCTTTTCTTACATTTAGATACTCCAGCGAGATGAACATCCACGCCATGCGTATGGGACCCGGAAAGCATCTCAAGGGACTCAAGTTGATGGGTGGTATCGTTGCACCTGAAGAGGTAAACACTGTGTCCTTGCAGAATTCTTTCTCTTATTTACTCATTCCGCCCTCGATAGTTCGACTACTTCCACGAAGTACGTGCCCATGAAGATCCTTTGTCTCGCCTAAGCACTGAATGCTTGTGCAGTTAATCATTACCCAGGAACTTGTCCGATGTGGTTCACGCGGCTACGGAGATGGTCTCTATGGCGGTGTCGTCATTGGTCTTCCACCTGTCATGAATTTTGGGGCTCCTCACCTCAAGGAGCGCATCACGAAAGAGACGCTCTCGGGACAGAAATTTATCTGCCTCGCTATTTCTGAAGCTTTCGCTGGTTCCGATGTAGCGGGGTTGAAGACCGCCGCGAAGAAGACTGAAGACGGCAAGCACTGGGTCATCAATGGAACTAAGAAGTGGATCACCGACGGAATGTGAGTATTTGCTCCTGTCGCCTCGGGAGTTATATTGATTGTCACTCTTTAGGTATGCGGACTAGTGAGTGACATTATTACCTGTATTACTTACTCGAAATTCTGATGAACGTCAGCTTTGTGGTCGGTTGCAAGACTGAGGTTAGTCCTTTAATCGACTGGTACCCCCCACCAGGAAATTCTTAATATTCTGCAGAACGGACTTACAGTGATCCTCGTCGAGCGAGGTGATGGCGTAGAGACCAAATCTATCAAGACATCCTACTCTCCTACCGCCGGCACAGCTTATATCACCTTCGACAACGTCAAGGTGCCCGTAGAGAATACTTTGGGTCCTGAGGGCGGAGGCGCCTTTGTGATTCTCAGGTCCGTGTTCACGCTGTATAGTGCACACGTTGTTTGATTATTCGTGTGCCCCCTTAGTAACTTCAACCATGAGCGATGGGTGATGTGCTGTGGTTCGGCCAGATCGCAGCGCGTTATTGTTGAAGAATGCTTAAAGTCCGTGATTTGATCTATCAAGTTGTAGTTGAGTCTGATTAATAGGATCGCAGGTGGGTCAGCCAGCGCAAGGCGTTCGGCAAGCCCCTCAGCTCTCAGGCTGTTATTCGCAGCAAACTTGCCCAGATGATTGCGCGCACTGAGAGCGTACATAACTGGCTCGAGAATGTTACATATCAGATGAACAACATGGTTAGCACACTTTATGACGGTGACGCATGCGTGAAATTAATTGCCTTTCGGTTTTGCGCCAGAATTATAAGAAGCAGGCGCAGTTACTTGCTGGGTGTGTATCTTTGCTTGAACCTTGACTTAATGCCTAATTTCACTCTTTGTAGGCAAATCGGTCTATTAAAAATGTATTCCACGCGTTGCGCACAGGAGACCGCGCGAGATGCCGTTCAGATATTTGGTGGCAGAGGTGTTACGAAGACGGGCATGGGAAGCGCAATCGAGCATGTAGGCCGTGATATATTGTTTTTCCATGACCCTTCCTGACGTTATTCCGCTCTGCAGTACCACCGAACGGTGACGTTCGATTCCCTACTCGGAGGAGGTAAGAATAATCTGCTATGTCGTCTATTCGTTCACTAATTGTCTCTCATGTAGCTGAGGATGTCCTGGGCGACCTAGGAGTACGACAGGCACTGAAGAACATGCCAAAGGACACTAGACTATGAGTACCCAAGAATGAACATTAATTATCACCTTACTGTTGTAATTCTAGCCATTTGATTCACTACATTATTCATATGTTTTCAAATTCAGAGAGCTTCCCCGAACACCGCAACGGTAGTCGAGGAAGTTCTCCCAGGTCGAAATTCTTGTTCGAATTTCCGCCTTCCATCCCCACCGCTACTCAGCGCTCTGATAACCCGAATTCCCATCGATGCCGACTGTATTTAAGGATCCTCTGCTTCCTCCCCAGTTCGTACAGGAAGTCATGTCTGATCCTGTTATGGTGGACTATTCTTCCTCTGTATACACACTCCGGGCACAAGAGGAACGTCAAGCCTTAGTACTCTGGGAGAAACCTCATGGTCACCCTGATTTGCGTCTCAACAGCACGGACCCCTCTGGCAATGTGGTTAAGAGCGTGACTAAACTGCAGCTCTCCGCCTCCATGGGAAACGTGCTTGCCGTTTGTGAATTTCTGCGATGCGGTGCATCAGGATTCAGTTGACAGAGAAGACCACGAGGGGTGCACCCCTCTATATCTCACTCTCCGCGAAATGACCAACTTCGCCAACTCACGCTTGACTTTCTCGAGGAATGGGAGACAGCTGACAGGCCCGGAGAAGATGAAGGTATTCCAGCGGCTCGTGTGGGTCTCGCGCATTCTCCTGGAGCAGCATGCCGATCCTAATATTGCGGTCGACGGTAATTTCGGTGTTCCATGAGTCTCGCGTACGCTGCAAGGTCCAAGAACACTATTGCTCTCCACAGACATGGCGCCAACTCGTCTCCACAACGCCAGCTACAGCAAGCATCTCGTATGGATCGCGTGCAGTTCCGTCACATCAGCAAAACCCAACTTTTACTTAAAAAGGTACTTAAATGACTTAAATGGACTTACAATCCTTATTTAAGGGTATAAGGTCAAAAAGGAGCCTAATGCATATTACATGAGTGTCTGAAATCAGACTTATTGACACTTATTTGAAGACTTATTACCTTAAATAAGGGTTGTAAGACCGAAAAGTCAAAATAGCTCTGTAAGAAAAAGTTGGGTTTTGCTGATGCAATTGGTCAAATTGAATGACAATCTCTTCATGTTAGAAATCGCGCCTTAGTTCCCAAATAGAAAGGTAGTGATGGCGGGTCAAGATGCATTGGGGCGCGTGATTACGTGTTCTAAAATAGATTTCTGTATATATACAGTTCTAGAAGCTCCACTTTATATAAGCAAATTTCCTTCTTTGTCTTTCTTTGTAATCATGCTCTCGGCTTGTCTGCCCTTGGGCGCTCCCCAATTTCTAGAGCTCCAGAAATTTGGGTGCTACTTTCCAACACTTCAGGCCTCCTCGGGTATGCTCATGTTGGTCAGATAAGTCAGTTGATGAGTGCCATAGCAAGGAGGAGAAGATCTATCCTCTTGCATTCCCATGTGTTTGTCACTCCGGAAAGGTGTACCGTCAGTGCTGCCACAAGCACATCAGCAAAAGGTCATGCATCTTGGTCTGTCTTCAGCATCTTGAAGGCATCTTGGTGCACTTACACTCTTGCTTTTGTCTTGACGGTCTTGTTCTTTCCAAGCATTTGACCACCTTAATGCTATCAAGTGCAGTTCAAGCACTGTAATATTCATGCTTCAAATTTTCAAGCTTTTAGGCTTTCAGGGACACATGGATTTATCTCGAGATGGCTCGCAGTATTAAATATATTATCTACATTCAGAGGAGTACACAAAAAACCCTCTGAATCACATGTACTTTGTGGTATACGAAATTCAGCAGTGCTCGCTGCTCTCATTGCCCCCAATCATGCTCCGTGTACGGCCACATGCACGCGGGGAGTCACTCACGCCACATGAGTATACTGTGCAGGCCACCAGGGTCTGCCCTCATCCTCCTCATTGCTCGTGCCAGTGTTTCCTAACCCATATCACATCATTGTGCTCACCTACAAAGTGTCTTGTGTGTACATCACAGCGGTAAGGCAGGCAATGAACAATATTGTCTTCCAGAGCACCCGAGACTTGAAAGGAACTTACATCAAGCTTTGAGATTCAGGAGACAATCTCTAGTACATACACACACAAGCTGATGATAGAAGGGAGGGACAAGATTTCAAAGCTTTCGAGACTCCGAGCATCGGCCCGCGGGCACGTGATCTAAGAACAAACACCAACAACAGTTGAGTTTCATCGCCACATCACTGCGAGTACAGTGTAATGGCACCACTTTGCACACCAAAGAACCTTTGCTGGATTTCTCGGACTCCGGCATCATCTTTCCTAAATATAAGTAGACAGAAAATTTCTAAAGTATCTTAAGATCTATATACCCATTTTTGCAATATTTTATTCTGTATGGTAGGGAACATACAGGCTTCGGACTGAGCAAGGTGGGAAATGCATGAAATGCACCGCATTGCACACCTGTGGGAATGGTCCATCAGTCTGCTTTCAGTGCTGTGGCAGTAAGAAGCACCTGCTTTATGACACATTGTGACTGTGCACTGACCATAAATTTTTGCTACAGGATGCAGTTTCCCTCGAACCCTTTCTTAGCAAGGGAACAAAAGATTCAAAAACATATCACTTCCATATAAAATCACAGTTTTATGTAAGAGTAGCCTCCTGTTGTAGCATCCCTGGCACAAAAGTGCTACTAGGCTAGTTCTAGCATTTTAGCCGATCTCAAAATTTCCTGTCCATGCAATTCTTCACCATTTGCCTCAGGAATTTGCATAATAAAGGATCTAATAGATTACTAGATACACAAAAAACAGTAGGCTGGCCAGGTAAAAATTGAGAGTGTGCCTAGCCAATGGATGTCAAAGGTAATCTTAAGATTATGTAGTCTGATAAGCAGCATAAATTTATAAGAGCTTATAGTATAAAGGCAATGATCTTATAGTTTAGAGGTGACAGTCTTATTACACAAAGGTGATAGTCTTAACAGCAGTATATTTGCTTCAAGTTCTAATAAAAGTAGACAGTCATTATTCACTTAACACATTTTTTCATCTGCCACCATCTCTTATCTAAGAATTAATAAATAGCAAAAGTCAACTTAGCTTTATATAGTACTAGGGTTTAAAAGAAATTGGCATAGATTTTGAAGGTTTTTATAGTTTTATAGTCTAGAGGTGATAGTCTTACAGTCTGTATATAGTAAAATAACATACTTCAGATAGAATAAGCCTTATAAGTTAAACATGTAGCCTACTTCTACATCTTAAAAAGAAAGACATGAGAGGCAGTAAAAAATGGAACCCAATGCGAGTCAGGAACACTAGCAGAGGCAGATGGTGATGAAACAGGAACAAGACTTCATTGTGTATAAGTAGGAGTAACAATGCATAAGAGATCTAAACATACCTTTTTTATGTATATTTAGAAGTAAGGAAAATGCAACAAAGAACATTTGGACATGAGTGTAATCATAGAGCAAGTAACTACAAACAGTCCAGTGCATGTGATCATTGTAAGTATGCGGTGTGCTTACACTCTTCCCCATCATATTTTCTTCATCTCTGAGCCTCACAAACATTGAGAGCAGTGCAGTTGAGTAATTCATATTGGGAAAGCCATTAATCACCTTCCACATCACATCCTTTCCATTGGATGAGATATTAGAAGCTGCATTCTTGGCAGTGTTCATTAAGGATTCTGTTAATTTCTCACTCTTCAGTGCCAACTTCTGTGATAATAGGACTGAGGCAATCAGGTTGGTGCATGCAGAAGAGGAGGAGATCATTTGGCCAATAATGCTCAAGTTGGGATGAGTGAAATGTGGGAATGACCTTCATAGTTTCTGGGAGTTGTAGTGTGTAATGGGAAGTTTCGGGGTACACTGCAGTAATTTGATAAGGGCCATCAAATATCGGTATGAATTTTGCCACATGTGTATTGCCACATTGCATGTAATCATGCCTACAATGCAATGTAGATAATAGAACCTTATCACAAATGGCAAAGTGAGGATTGGAGTCACAATGGACATTTGCAGTGTCAGCCTGACCAACCTTTTCTGCAAGAAGATTGTCTTGAGATTTGAGGGAGTTGACTTCAATACAACGGATAAGATCAGCCACAGTGGTAGCATTGAGTTCAGAGGTCTGCAAAGCAATGGAGAAGACATTAGCATGGAAAAGAGGGGGAATAATTCATAGAGAACATCTCATGCACAGCTGGAAGTTTTATAGTTTACAGGTGATAGTCTTATAGTGTAAAGGTGATAGTCTTATAGTGTAAAAGTGATAGGCTTACAGTCTGTATATTCCAAAATAACATGCTTCAGATAGAATAAGCCTTGTAAGTTAAACATGTAGCCTACTTCTGCATCCAAAAAAAGGCAGAAGAGGCAGTAACTAACTTGTTGAGGCATAGTATGAAGTGAGATTTTAAGGAGAAAGTGTCACCATTATAAAGATGAGCTAAGCAGGTTATAAACTAAGATATAAAAGTAAGGTAATTATAATACTTGTATTTGCATGTCCCTAGGTCACAGTAATCACTGTGGCTACTAATAACTATAAATAAAACTCAAAATCTCACTTCAGAGTATCCTGCTAGATAGATGAGAAATGCGAGATGAGAGAATAAGACTTAAGAACAATGAAGTTTACAATTACTTCATAGCAGAGCTAGGTTTAGCATCATGAAATTATAGTATATTGACTTTGTGTTTAATTGTGACAGTGAACAGAACTCAAAAGAAAATGTTTTTAATCAGCAGCATAAAAGCTTGTATGAAAAAACTATAAGCACTTACACATGCAGACTATAAGCACTCACCTAATTGAGCTACAAGTACTTATACTTGAAGTAAGTAAAACAGACTATATAATCTTAAGATTAACAATGTTTACTATTGGCCTAGCAGGTGTGCAATGTGATGGGGGTGTGCAAAGTGGTGCTGTTACACTGTACTTCCTCTGAGCCACACTGCCTGCTTTGATGAGCTGACCTCCCATTGCTTTATGTCAGCATGACAAAGGGCTCCCTGCAACA